AATATGAACAAAGCATACCCCAACAAGCAACTTTCATTGATTCCAAATCGTTCACGTGAGACCTAATAGCAGAACCGTAGTAAACAGTTAATTGATGAATTTTATCATCAGTTAGACGTCCATTTCGACCTCCAATTGGCTTCTTGTCTGCTAATTTTTTACCTTTATATTGTTTCTTCAGTGTTTCTAGAGCAGTGCGCATTCTATATTAAAAAAATAGATGTATTATCATCAAGATAACTATATTACCGTTTCGAAAAATGATTAATACATTGAAGACGTTGAATAGTAATATCTTGATATGGTTCAGCATCACGAAGTGCACGTTCATTATTAGCATCACCGTCGCCGATGTATGTTGTGTATCGTAGATGATGTTTGGATTCTGATCGACCAAACACTTCCACAATCCCTAAAAGATTCCAAATAGTAGTAACAATCTTTTAGCATAACTTCTTCAAACCTGCAGCCTCCATTCCACCTGATGAACCTGAATGATTTGCTTCACAACCATCCTCTATATGTTTTGCTAAAAGTCGTTTATACATTTTAGGACTGTGCTCTTTAATTCCTAATAAGCCAGAACACGTGGTACAGTGACGACTTAGACATTCAAAGTCTAATACTTTTGGAGGATCTGATGTTGAGCAAACAGTTGCTACACCATGTAAACTAGAATGTCCACGACGAGTTAGCCATGTTCCATCAACTGAAACTTTTATATTTGTAACTCCTTTACGATCAGAAGGTTCAGATGATTGTTCTGCTGCTTCATCAGCTACAAATATAATTATACGAAAATATTATATGATAAATAAATAAAAAAAGTGAACTTTACCTGCACTTTCAAGACTTCTATCTTTCACAACATCCAAAGCATTTGAATATATTTCCTGATAGTTGTTCCAGTTTTCAATTTGAACTGGTGGTAAAATATTCAATATACCTAAAATTGAAGTCATACCTGTTCGTTTGATTCCCGCAACATTAGCTGCTACACATGCTAACATATTGAGTTCATCCATACGTAAAGTAGATGAATGAATTAGATGTTTTGAATTTGTAAAATGCGTTTGAAATGAACAAGCGCATGAAAACGTGATATGGTATAAGAGACCACGACGTTGAGTAACTTTCTCAGACATTTTCCCAACACGACCACACGAAGGACAACGAAATTTATTAACTAAATCTAGTATCATACCGATGCTAACAATAATATTAACATTTTTGAATGAAATATCATGTGATACAGATTCCTCTTCAGCAAAAGATGGTTCATCTTCGTCTTCACTGTTGGATTGTGCTGTTGAAGTTGATCTAGTACGAAGTCGAGCACGAGATAAGTTCAGCTTTTTTGTAGTTGTTGTTGTTGGATATTCTGGTGTTGATGTTAGATGTTTAGGTGGTGTTTTTATAGTGTTATCTATCAACATTGTGCTTTTGAGTTGTTTCAATTGAAGATCCCGTTTTTGCAATCGTTTTTGAATATATTTTTTAACCATCTAAAATACAATTATTATTTAGTGATGGTCGATCATTACGAGATGCACAGCTAGAAGCAATTACAACACTTATTAAAAGTTGCTATCTGGATGAAAATATTACAATGCCTGCACGTATTCATCATATTTTATTTGAAAAAAAATTCGATGATATTTCAACTCAACATCGTGCTACTACAGATAATGTTATAGTAACCGATGTTGAGCGACGTGGGGCATTTGTAAGTGAAATAAATACAATTTTATTTAAAAAATCGAGGAAAAAAAAACATTTATTACCACCAGTCATACTTCAACTGATGCGTCTTCGATTTCCAACTGATCTTGACAAAGATAAACCTCTCGAAGGCGCAGTTGACGTGTCCATTGATGATTTTGTTCAATGGACAAGGAATGTGACGTAAATGATTTTATGTATTTTCATTTATTTTTATTATCAAACAAGAAAAAATAAAATATATATATAAAAGAGAAATATTTATTTTTACTGGAAACGATTATGACTAATAATGATAATTCTCTATTCTATTCGTCACTAAAAGACCAATAGATGCATCAAGCATATCAAGTATGGTCAATAATAAAAGAGCAATGGACCAATATTTAACCTTGAAAATTAAATATTCGAAGAAAAGATGTCACTTGATACAAGAGTTTTATGCATGACATACTATACCATAATTCCACTTTTCTGGGACCGTATGAGTCGATATGGTTATAACTATCACCAATGAAGAAGATAACATAATAAAACACCTTTAGAAATAACAAAAAAAATTTTTTTTTGTCATATACGTTTTTGGAAAACTTGGTTTTTCAGAGACCTATTGATCTTTGGGCGGGGGGGTTCTGATTTTCATACTATAGATATATTACATTGTAATATGACTTAATATCAAAAAATAGATAAATAGAATTTTTTGTTCCCCAGGTCTCCAATAAACCGGTTTTCCAAGGACTTCCGGACGTGGAGGGGTCCTGAATTTTATAGTATATATATATTACATTATAATATAACTTGATATCAAAAAACAAAAAAAAAAAATTTTTATTTTGGTAGTTTCCAAAAAACCTGGTTTTTCAGGGACTTCTCGACCTTGGGGGGTTCTGAGTTTTATAGCACACCTAGAGGGGACCTTGATACACCTTTACATTAAATAAAAAAAAAATCGAAAAAAAAAAATTTTTGGCTCGGGAAAGGGGGGGGGTCCCCTTAAAATGAAATCTTGTTACTAGATTATTCAAAAGATTTGAATCAAT